CTTTCAGGGCACTTGCAGGCTACTTGGAGAGCAGGCCAACCCACCGCCATAAGATCAGCGGAAATAGCCCAGGGTCTGGGGACAACTGGCAGATGGCACTTACGTTGCAGGAATCCAAGAGACTGGAGAGACCCACGGACTGAAACAGGAGGACTTTATTTCAGGTTGAAGGTGAACACCCGCTCAACGGACTCCTGTCCAAAGGAAGAGCGTTGAACAAAGAGAAGTTCCAGCTGGTCTGCATTTTGGCGAAGGGGGTGGTCTTTCTAGGGACATAGCAGGTGAGTTTACTGGAACAGGACAAGGGCAGACAGTTTTGTAACTTTGCCTTGAAAGAAGACAGTCTTATGAATCATAGGAGAGCAGAGTGTCATCAACTTTGTTTACAGGGCATAGCTGTTGTCGATTTCATCTGTACCAGAACAAGGAACGACACGGGAGAGGAGGGTGTTGGGGGCTGCCCAAGGCTGGGAAGGACTTGTTTGTCGTGAAGTCCTGCTTCACTTTGACCCAAGAAGCTCCCTAGAGCTGATGGCCTCTGGGCCCCAGCAATTTATGCAGGACAGGAAGGGAATGGGGAGAAGGGGGTTCTCCACTGCATGGGGTGCCTTCCCCACCCCTTCTTGCAAAGGGGTCCTGTGTCTCTGCGGGAACAGATCCTTTCTGCTGGGTGTTCTGACTGCCCAGAAAGTTCCCAGCCTGGATAGCGCCAGTTCAGTTCCTACTGGCCCCCAGCAAAAGGAGACAAAGACAAGCAGGGTGTTTTTCCCAAGCAAATTACATTCTGTCAAGGGCCTTTTAAAAAAATCATGATGTTGGGTCCTTCCTAATTTTTTGGTGATTAACCAGGCTTGGGGCCTATACCTATAGTCCAGCCCTCTAGGAGGCTGAGTGGCAGGAGGATCACAAGTTCCAGCCCAGCCTAGGCAACTAGGCCTTGGTGACAATCTGTCTCAAAATTAGAGATTAAAATTTTAAAAGGAGCTGGGGATATAGCTCTGTGTGAAGGCCCTGGGTTTAATCCCCAGTACGGATGTGGGAGTGGATGAAGGAAGACTGATTTAATAAAATAATGTTGATAGACCATAGCATGTTTTAGTTTGTTTTTTGAAAAAGCATTTTTACTTGGCAAGTTAATAGTTGGCCAACTGTGTTGGTCCCTGAGAGTTTACTGATCTTCAGCTATTTCAGAGTCTGAGGACACCTGGCCCAAGACACCAGGCTATACCCACCCAGGCTGGTATATTCAGCCAGGGCACCTGCCTCAGCTCTCTGCCCCAGGCCCGTGGCTCTTCCCCTTCAGATCTTGACCTCGCTCAAGGCTCTGTCACCTCGGTCGGTCCCTCTCACTGCTGGGATGTGGAGTGGTTCCCTTATCCTGGCTCCCCAAGGAGGCTCTCAAAAGGAGATGTGATAAACTAACTCACACTAAGGCAGGCATGGGAGAGCCGAGTTCATAGTCTCTCCTGGAGGCTTTCAGATTTTAGTGGCGTATTAAAACTTAATTCAAACCAATGAATAGTAGAATTTCAAACCCTTCCACAGGGCAAGAGGAGAAGTATATTTATTTTTCAATAAATGGCCTTCTTCTAAAATCAAACTACACCTCTCAAATTACTGACACAAAATGCTAGAGGGGAGACCCAGGTAATAAGCGACTCTGTCTTCTAGATCAAACCATCACACTCTACTGAGAAAAGAAATCTTGACCTTCTTGCTCCCCTCTCCAAACAGGATTAATCCAGCAATCTCACTGCCTGCTGCCCGAGGCAGCCAAACGGCTCAAAAGTCACTTTTGGAGAACCCAGTTTCCCAAATGCCTGTTGCTCCTGGCAGAGTGAATGGTCCTGCCCACTGCTGGATCCCAGGGCCTGGGTGGTGACGGCTGCCACGGAAGATACACAAGTGAGCCACTGGGTATACAGTACCAGGTTAAATATAGCCCAGCCCCTACAGGCACCTCTGCTTGGACACCACTTGGGTAAACGCAAATGCTCAATCCCTGCAAAGGTTTGAAACTGCGATTGCATGAATCCTGATTACAAACATCCTGAGGGCACCATTCCATTCCCTGAGGGAATCTGGGTGCCATGGGGAGGGAAGAAACTCCCAAGAGAGGCCCAGGAAGACAGGTGGAAGCCCCACACATACGGTGGCACCTCAGCAAGCCCCTTTCCGGAATCATCCCACAATTCTCCTTGGACAGGTGATGCAAGTATAGTCTGTATTTTGGCCTGATGGGAAAAATAAAGGCAGGACTTGGGACAAAGCGACTCAATCTTTTGTTCCCGGACACTTAGTACAATGAATAGCTTTCTGCATCACATGGGGAGACTTCTGAGAGCTTTGTTTCTGTGGAAGTGGGACAGGGAGAGTGGGAACATCTCCCCCCACCAAATGCTTTCATGTGGTAGCAGCTGGATGACAGAAGGTGGGAATAGCCCTGTTCCCGTAAGCCAGGGGTTCTGGGAGTTTGGTCTTTGGATCAGTGGCCACAGTACTACCTGGAGATTGTCAGACAGGCAGTTTCTCAAGCCCCAGGACCCAGTGAAACAGAAATTCTAGAGGTGAACTCCAGCTGCCTGTTTTTAAAGCCCCTGCAAGAGTTTCAGATCAGGCCGAAGTTTGAGAACCACTGGTGATAAGGCTTTACTTTGGAGTTTGTGACTGGGAGCCAGGGGTCTGAGACTGGGCCACAGCTCCTATGTGACCTAAAAAAAAGTCAGGGATGACTCAGCTGCCAGACATCCCCAGTTCGGCCAGGCCCGGAGGGAGATGGCCAAGAGCAGGTGCAGGACCTGGGGCTGGCCTGTCCATCCCTGGCATCCTGTCACTGCTGCCATCCTCAGCCCCATGTCTATCAGGACCTGACCCACAGTCGTGGCTCCTCCACAGGGAAAGGGCCGTGTCCTCTCAGACTCCCAATCTATTCTTAGTTCCAATCCGCACAAATCCACCCGCGCCAAGGGGAAGCTTCTGTGAACTTTCCAAGGTGGGTTAACTGTTTCAGAGCAGAGGGGTGGGGGGCAGCAGTTCGCAGAGCCGCTGGACACTGCCAAGCTCTTCCCAGCCCTCCAGGGCGCTCCCTGGGCTGGTGGTCCCGTCCCCCCCGCGGCCTGTTTCCTCCTGGCTGCAGAACCCAAGCAGGCGTCCCAACCTGCGTCCCCGAGGCTGGAGGAGTATGTGTCCTGATTTTTTAAAAAGCTGTTTGCGCACTTCAAGGGCCTCACCCCTTTCATTTGGGTCTTGAGTACAATGGTGCTGGCCTAATTAATTCATTTTCTTTTCGGTCCAAAGTGGAAACCCCAGAACAGGGATGCAAATCAAACACAAACCCACTCTGGACGCCAATACTCCGGACAATTAAAACAAAGAGCGCGGCGGCAGCGGCGGCGGCACCGCACAAAACCCTCGGGAAACATCCAGAACGTGTCGCCAATCAGCCGGCGGGGTGGGGCGCAGCCTGGGCCGCTGTGCGCTCAGGACTGCAGCCCCAGCCCCGCAGGTGGACAGGTGGAGGTGGGCAGGGGTCAAAATCCAGCCTTCAGGACAGGAAGCCGGGCGGCAGCGTGACCAACTCCAGGGGGCACACGCGTCCCGCGCCTTGCGGGAATGGCGCCCCAGCCAAAAAAGCAACCACACAAACCCATCGCCAGGGCGGGAACCGGGCTGCGCGGCCGGCCGGGGACACGGGTGGGTGGGAGAGGGAGCAGGCCAGAGGGAGGAGGGGAAGAAGGACAGGGGAGTTGGCGAGGAGGATGCGGAGGAGAGGGAGAAAGTGGAGAAAAGAGGGGGTGAGGTAGAGAGCTAAAGTGGGGGACGGAGGGAGAGGAGGATCGCGGAGAGCGAGAGCGGGGAGGGGGGCGGAGGAGGAAGGGGAAGAAAGGGCAGGGCGACCCGCGCGGTGGCGGCGGGGGCGGGACGCGGTCGGTCTGCACCTGCTGGGCGCCCCCGCCCCGAGGGGGCCGAGGGAGCGGCCGGGAGGCGGGCCGGGCGGGAGCCGGAGGAGGGAGGGAGGGAGGGGACGGGCACCAGGAGGCGGGGAGGAGCCGCGCGCGGCTGGGGCTGCGGGGGCGGCGACGGCGGGAGCGGCCGTGGCTACGCCGGCTGGTCCGGCGGTGGCGGCAGGTGGCCCAGCGCGCGGCGGCCGGCCCGGCCGGGGGCGGGCGGAGGGAAGGTGGCGCCTCGGGCGGGGGCAGGTCCCTGCACCAGGTGACCTGTTCCGGCCGGGAGCCGGGCGGCCTCGCCATGCAGCGGCGCGGCGCGGGGCTCTGGTGGCCGCGGCGGCAGCAGCCAGCCCCGCCGCCCTCTGCGCTCGGCGTCCGAGCCTCAGCCATGGCCCCCCCGAGCGGCGCGGTGCCCCCGGGCCTTGGCGGCCGCCCAGCCGGCACGCTGCTCCTGCTCTGCTACCTGGTGAGCGCCGGACCCTGCTCGGGGTCCTCCCCGCGCGGGGACCCGGGGACGCGGGTGGGGGCGGCAGGGACCCCCCGGCACTCGGGGCGGGCGCCGCGCTGCTAGTTTTCTCTCTTCCCCGCCGCGTAGCCGCGGGCGCTCGGGCAACTGGATGGTTCCCCGGGCGCCCAGAGAGGCGCAGGCACCGGACTGGCCGGGCGACTCTGTTGCTCCAGTCTGTCGCTGTCGGTCCTGTTCTCGCTGCAGACCCGGGTGGGGTCCCCCTGGAGGCCCCTCATGCCCTCCGCTTCATCTGGCAGCCTCACCAGCCACCCAGCGTTGGCTCCTCTGCCCGCCGCGCTCTGCTCTCCACCCTTCCCGGGCTCCCCTCTCTTGCCTCCAACCCCCCTTTCTTCCCGTGCCCAACTTCGCCCTACGCACTTGGCATCCTCGACTCCCCCACCCCTTTAGTTTCTTCGGGGGTCCTCAGGCCCGGACGGTTTCGTACCAACGCACCTCGCATTTTCAGCGCTCCTCAACTCCTCCTTGGTCACTCCAGCTAAGTTGCGGATGCCAAAAAGAAATCTAGTTCTTTGTAACACGCTTACCTTCAGAGTGGTGACTTTAGCTGCATCTTGAACATTGTCATTTCAGAGACTGTGTTTGGCTTATCCGTGTCAGTTTGCGATTGGCACACTTTCTGGCTTCTGTTGTACTAGTCACCTAAATGGCAGTACCCTATTTTTCAGAACCAACTCATTTTAAATACAAGAGTCATTGGTACCCTCAGAACACAGTGGGGTAAATTTTCTCAGCTCCTTTCAGGGCTTGCTTTTTCCTGTTTTTGAATTCCCTTAAACAATAGTCAATTTACAGAAGGCGGCACCTTTACAGCCCAGCCTACCTTATGTTCCAGGATCCTGCAGAAACCTAGGGTTATCTTGCCATATATTACTGTAAATAAATAAAATGGAAAATGCTGAATCATGAAACTGATGTAATAGGAAATTCACAGAATACTAAAAAAAAGAAAAAAAAAAGAGCAGTGTCATTGTCCAGAATTCTCATTTATGTGACATTGTCATTATTTGGAGTAGTTTCTTCTCAGAAACTAAAAACTGCCTAGGGGATACTGGTAGAAATTAGATTTTGAGTCTACCAAAAATTGACACACAGCCCGAGTGTTTTTTTAAACACTCTTTACTTTTTGGATGTTGCATTTCTTGAAGCAAGAGAGTGTAAAAATGCAAATTGTAATTCTGCCTTTGCATCTACCTGTTGAGCAAGCCATTCCTTCACTTGAATTTCTAAAATTAGTCAATACCAAGTTTTGTGGTTGGGTTTACTTCATATTTTCATAAGAAGTTGTCAGTTGACATGAATGATTTTTTTTTCACCCAGGGGATATTATTATTTAATATTTATGCCATGGGGTTACAGCACACAGGCTCATAAATAAAACTGCCACAACACATGACGGCGGCTCAGTTTAAACCGATGATCCCTGCACACGAAGTGCTGCTGGTTCCCCATAGAAGCAGAAGTGATGTAGTAGAGCAGTACATGCAACATTCTCCTAGAGGTGGGCAGGAAAGTTCCACATGGGAATCTCAAGGCCTGGCAAGGGGGCCACTTCTGCATGGGCTGGAAAATCAGAGTGACAAGTAGGAAACCTAAAGACCTGTGTGCTGCTCTGGGGGAACAGAGAATGGAGCAAATACAGGGGTTCTGTACCGGCCATGGAGGATTCTCCAAAGCAGATCCTAGAGAGGAAACGACACTGTGGGAGCCTGGAGGGAGGTGGGGACGTACGAGGCAAAGCTCCGCAAAGAGATTATAGAAAATACAGTAATGTGGAAAATAAGTAGAGCATGGACGAGCGTCTGCCAACACAGGAAGGCATGGATCTTGGAACGTTGTCTAGGAGACTTGTCAGCGCTTCCTGCCTCTGGGTGCTTGTTCCTGATGGGCACTGATAATGCCACTGGAGAAGAAAGCCTTTGATAAGTGAGAGCCATTTTGCAGTTGAATCAGAAAGTTGTGTGTACCTGAGCATCGAAATCCTGGCTTGGAAGGTGGTCTCTGTGTTTTGATCTGAGAGTCCAGCCAGGTACTGGGAATTGTGCTCTCCAGGTATGTTCTACTGGAGATCTACTGAAGGAGTTGAAAAGAAGGGCTTCTTGATCTTGGAGAAGCTTAGTGTGTCAGCTTCTGTATGAAACACCTGAAAGGCACAAACAGTGAGAAACAGTGCAAACGCATTGTTGTGTGGATTCTACTCAACCAAAGAATACTTCCTGGAGGAAGTGATGGGGGTGTGGAGGTGGAGCAGAAGAGCTTTGCAAGATCTCAGCTATGGGTATACACTAGACCTGAAGGTCCTTCCATCATTTGGAAGCCTAAAGAGTAATCACGATAATAGCTTGATTGTGCTAAGTCATTTGTAGGCTTTATTCACTATTAATCTTAGAAACAACCTTGTGAGGTAGGAGCTATTATGATCAACACTGGAATGGGATAACAGGCCCAGAGAGGTTAAGCAAGTTGCCCTAGGCCACACAGATAGTTTGAGATTAAACCAAGTCTGTCTAACCTCAGGGCCCCAGCTTGAACCTGTGCTAGATTATTGCCTGCAGTATTCTGCTGCTTATAACCTATTCCACCCCGCCCCCCGCCGCCCCCTGCCCTGCATAAATGTACCGTCCGTTAGCAGAGCTCTCACAATTAGAAGCTACTGTGCAATTGGCCAGGATGTGAGGTCATGTCTAAAGTAACCTAAAATATACAAAGCAGGAAGCATGGGCCACAGAGTAGAAGCAGGATGTTAAAAAGAGAGAGAGAAAAAGGCAAAAGCAGAAAATATTTGCCATGGGTAATGGAGAGGTAAAAGATTGTGTCTTTATAGAGTCGAGAGGCAGCCTGAGGGTTTAGCATTTGAGTGTGTGTGAACATATGTCCCAAGTGTATAGTGAGTGTGCATTGGAATGCATTCAGAAGCCAAATTGTTCCTGATTTGGGGACCAATTCCTGTTCTGTGTTAGCCTGCCCAGACGGCTGGAGATTGGAAGTGGCTTTGGGCTGGTGCTCTCAGGGGGTGCATCCCCCCAGGAGTCACCATCCTGAGGAGAGAGGCCCCTTCCTTCTCCACTGGCTGGGACAGAGTAACCTTCAATATTAGCCCACGAGGAGGACTGTGACTGTAGCTAGGATACTGCCAAAGCATGAATAATTGTGATGAGGCCTGAAAGATAAGTCACGGAATGATGCCAAGCAGATTTCTGCAAACATGATCCCTGGTTCCAGTGACTGCCAGAAAATCTGGAGGTCAGCAAAGGTCAAGCTGCAGAGAGCCTTCTCAGTTCGGATGAGGGCCTGGAAAGCAAAGGGTAAAGAAATTGCTTCCACAGAGCTCACGAGAGCTCAGTGGAGCCCGAGAGCCCACTCCACGCAGGGTCACCCTGTTTCCTTGAGCCATGAACACTTACTTTGCTCTGTGCTAGGCCAGATCCAGCTGTGGCCGCTCTAGCCCATCCGAGACACTGGGGCTTCTACGAGGCAATCCGGTCTACTTGGAACTGATTTTTCCTTAAGTGAGAACATAAATCTCACAATGGCCAATCTTGATGTCAGCGATAATGCTGACCTATTCAAAGAGGACATTTGCACTTGTTAGACAACCAAGGGACAAATAAATAAGAGGATATTAGCAGCACAGAGATATGTATGAATGCTTGGCAGACCGTGGTTATGTGGGAGTCTCTAAGTAGCCACATGTCATCCATCACCCATCCAGGAGTATTCATCAGCCCCTCACTATGTGGGCAACACAGGGTGTAGGGCTCAAAATTAGCTAGGAGACTTTCAGTCATTCAGCTGGAGCAAGAGCAATTATGGCTATTTGAAATACAGAGTTAATCCTGAAACTTCATGGCAGCCAGTACCTTCCTTGTGCATCCTAATCATGAAATCTCCCATGCTATGTATGGTATGTGCCTTTTGCCTATTTCTTCTGGCTTCCTGTTAGCAAAAGCACAGGAACCAGAGCAAAGGTAGAAGGGGAGAAATAAAGAACCCAGGCAGTTTGCTGAGAAGATGGATAGACTCTTGGAGTCCATAAATAGCCTAAAGTGAATTCCGATCCTCTGTTTATTGGCTCGCCCCATCCCTCTGAGAGGGAGCGAGGGCAGGAGGGCTGTGCAGCAAGTGAGGAATTGCTGATGAAGTCCTGTAGGGCAGCCCTGGCTTCCCAGCTTCCCCGGAAGGGCTGCTCAGGCTGGCCCGCTGGCTCACTGCCCTATGTCTCCGCATGCAGTGACATCTCTTCCCCCACCCCGGACTTGAGGCACATGGGCAAGGTGGAATTTTAGATTCCCTTCCTCCGAGATGGGAATGCTTAAGTCTCAGGATTCCCTCACCTGTAGCCAGAGAGTGGTGACAGGTAAAGGCAAGTGGATGAGCTGAGAGCATTATTTTTGGTGTTTCTGGAAGGCACAAGGCCCACCATCTCTGACTTTAGGATCAGCCAATAAGGATTAGAATTTTGGTTCTACTTTAAGTGGCTGGTTCATCCTGAGCAAGTTACTGACCCACTCTGAATCCACTGTAGCCCCTCGGCTATAACACAGGAATGCTGACTGTCTCCCAGAACTGTTGTGTAGAGGTTAGAAGTAAGAATTTCTTTAAAGTTGTACGTGAGAGGCTGAGGTTAGAAGGGAGTGAGAAAAAAGATTTAACTCACTTGTCTCAATGGCCAGCACGCAGTAGGTCCCTAAGAAAATAAAACCAAATCATTCTTAGTTGGCTTTGTATGATTTGAGGTGGAAAGAAACAGCACATTGAACAGTGTTGGGGGTGGGCTGTAAACAGGCACGGGTATTGATCATTGCTGTCATGGTTTCTCCGGCCAGCTTGAGAAGGAGCAGCATTTGACTGGAAAATGTTTCCCAAGGCACACTTTGATTTTAAAGCCCTTATTGACATCACCGTTCGTGCTGCTTAATTGCATGCTTTGTTGACATTAACAGAATTTTTGCTTATATCTGATCAGCAGAAATTGGGGGGAAAATAGGCCTGTTAAGCCAGAACAATTACCTTTCTGACCTACGGAAAGTTTGATCCAGCCAGTTTGGAGAGAAGGCGCTCTGGAGCCAAGGTTTTCTTCAGTGACTGATGGGGCCGGGAGAGGCGAGAGTGAGAGTAACGGACACTCAATCGCTGCTCTTGGCTCAGGCCTGCCTGGGTACATGTGTAAGTGGAAATGAGCCTCCGATAGCGAGATGAGACTGATTTAAGATTTTTCCAATCTGTCCTTCCTTAAATACCAAGTGGATTATACAGAGAAAAGAACCAAGTTTCCCTGCTCTTTGGCACAAGGTTATTTGAATCGAGTCTCTCCTATTGATTTTGTTTAAAGGAGTCAAATGCAGTTATCCTAAAAGAAGTTTAGACTCTGTTGATAATGTTGGTTTTTTTCCATCCTGAAGATACATGAATTCATGTTTCTTGATTCCCAGGCTGAGTGGATGCATTTAGGTCTCCCGTCCTGAACACACATGAACTGGTTCTTTCCCCTTCTTTTTAAAAAACATGATAGTATGCACACAAACACACAAAAGTAGAAGAGTCTGTGCTTTGTGACTGTGTGTGATGTCATCAAAGTCAACTTTGATTGAGGCTCATTTCTGCTAGAAACAGATATATGAGGGCCCAGGCATCTTTCAGCTCCACTCTGGGTGTGCAGAGCAGATCAGCAGCTTTCGAGATGGAACATCTATGTGGCTGCTTAATTGGAATAATTTGAGGAACACAGAAGTGCCCCTTTCACTCAGAATACCTTGCTTAGAGCTGCAGTGCAGGTGGGCTGTACTTTTAAGGCTTTATCTGCAAAGCTGGCTTAGAAATGCAGATATGTGACATTGCTTCTGTTTTTTCATTACCACATTAATGTAGATGAACCTGACAGATGAGCAGAGTCCAGCAGGAGAGAGAAGGATTGGAAATTTTAAAGTTTTTAATTTGTGCTTTTGGTGTGTGAAAATGGAAAAGTTCCAGACACAGAGGTGTTGTCTGAAAGGTCTGGGGGCACAGAACAGAGGGGAGAAGCATACTTCAAAGGGAGAAGGCAGGTTCCAGAGTGCCACCTTCTTATACCTCACAGTCCCTAGATCCTCTGTGACCCCCAGGAGCCTGGTGAGAGGCCAAATGGCAAGGGCTCTTCGGAAGGAGTTAAATGAGGCTGGATGCAAATTGCCCACTGGAAACGGGGTCCTAGGAGGGCCGCAATGGGCTCTCACGATTGGATCAGTGTTTTTGGTTCATAGGCAAGAGCCCCCGGGGTTGTGGGACATTGACATAGGACAAACCACGGAGGCATCTGGCAGGGATACCCATACCCAGGACTTTACTTCACCAAGAAATACTTAACTAAATTCTTACTGTGTGCCAAGCTCTATCCTAGAAGCTGGAGACATGACAGTGACATGGACTCTGACTTCATAATTTCTAGACAAAGGAATGGGAGGGTGATTTTTAGCTTATGTTAATGCAGCCTGGCATGTGGACACACCTACAAAGGGTGGAAACGTGTCATGCCTGTAGCTGGAACTCTTCAAGTTAATTGCCTTATTTTCCTGGCAGGAAACAGCTTATAACCACACCCATGACTTGAGCCAGGAAATCAGCTTCAGCTTAATCAATATTTAGAGTGTGATGTGTTGCTAATCGGTGTTGGTTTTGTACATAATGGAGGTAGCCACAACTCATGGGGTAGCAGCTGCCCCTGGGTCTGCTCCAAGCCAGGCAGAGCCCGCTCCCTTCACTGCTCCCTTTTGGGGCAGAGCTGCCCCAAAGCTGAAGACTGTGAGGCCTTCTCAAGGGACTTAAACTGTGCTTTGCACGAGACACTTAGGTGATCTGAGAGGCTTTCTTGTCATCCCTGTTGTATGACAGAAATGTTGCCCAGTCTCTGAACTTGCTCCAAAGCTGGAACTTTGGAACTGTCACCTATGGAACTGTCACCTATGGAACTATCACTCACCTCTCAGTCCGTGAGTTTAAATCATTTGTCCAGACTAACCTCACGTTCTCGTTCAACTTAGATTGTTTCTAAAACAAGCAATAGTGAGACGTCAGCACCCACTGCCCGAGAACCTCAGAAGACATGGAGTTGAGCCTCGTCGGCTAGGTGTGTGTGAAGTCAGGCTGGTCACCCCTTCTCTGCACAGCAACTCCTTAGCAAGTGTATCTTCTGTCACTTTGTGTGCTTCAAAGCTCTATCTAGAATCAAAGCTTGATTAATAGACCACGGTGGCAAACTATGGCCCATGGGCCAATCCAGCAGCGGCTTATTTTTGTAGATAGAGCTTTGTGACCGTTGCCGTGTTTATCCAGTTGTGTGTCCAACCTATGGCTGCTCTCAGAAAGGCCACGGCAGAGTTTCCTAACTGAGACCGATAATTGGTGGCCTGAAACACGTATAAAGGAAGTTGGTCTTCCATCCGGGTAGCTTCTGCATCCTTAGCTGCAACCCAGGATTCCTTCCCCCAAATTGGATCTGTGCTGAACATGTACAGACCTTTTCTTATTATTCTCTAAACAACACTGGATAACAACTACTTAATAGCATTCACATTGTATTTGGAATTATAAGTCAGCTACAGATGATTTAAAGTATGCAGGAGGCTATGCATAGGTTATGTGCAAATACGATGTCGTGTTATAGATGGGATTTGAGCATCTGTGAATTTCAGTATCCTTGGGGGGCTCTGGGACCAATCTCCTGTGCATATCAAGGCATGATTTTATATACATCTGGCCATTTTTCACCAAAAAAGGCTGTTAACCTCAAATGTAGAATAGTTCCTTCCTGTAGACAATTTGAGCCTCATACATGATTTTATATTCAGTAGTTCCCACATTTAAAAGGTAAACAGCTAATTTTCATGTTTATCTAACTTGATGTGTCCAAATGTTATTTTTTAACATGCTATCTGTATCAAATTATTAATGAGATATTTCATGGACTTTTTTTCTTTAATACCAAGAATTTGAAATCTGCTGTATAAAAAAGAAAAGAAAAGAAATCTGCTGTATAGTTTATACTTCGAGTACATCTTGGTTAGGACCAGACACATTACAAGTGCCTAGTCTACACTGTGTTGGGTACATCAAGCAAAACCCAAACCAGGCCCCTGGTGTGTTTTTAGCAATCAGATGTAAAATAATGAGCTGGATTATTATTAACTGCATTTTGCAATGAAGTCTAGTGAAGTCAGATGTTCTTTGTTTAAAAGAGGTTTTCGCTGGAGCTTTTGGCATTATGAATGTGATGGAAAAAAAATCAAAGTGGGAGAATTAGGTCTGGGTGAGCTTTAAGGT